TTTGTTTAGTATTATTCAAAGCCACTTTTTCATATAATTTTGATAAACTGTATATATGCCTCAAAGGTTTCTAAACTACATCTAATATGGATGAATATTAGGGTGAAAAATGAAGGGTTATTTGAAATACAGAACATAAGCATAGGGGACTCCCTTATACTTTAAAATATTGACACTATGTTATTTTGTTGAAACTTGAAAGTGGTTATGATTTGTGGAAGAATGACTTTCCGCTTTTACTGAATGATTTATATGGTATTATTCAAAGCAAATTTTTCATACAGGCTATATGTTTATACCCATTATTTTTTTCGGTCTGAATCTGATTTTCCCTCAATTCAGGTCAGCACAAAATCCGCTTTGTGGCTTCTTCGGGTGGAGGACAGTGCATGGTGGGACCTTTCCTGGAGATGACTATGATCCCTGATGTGGAGCTGCGAAAGGCCACCATACCTATATTCTTTGACATGATGCAGTGTGAGTACTACTCCCAGCGCGACCAAGGGAAAAATGGGCCTCCAGACATGGCTCGCAACAAACAGAAGATTAAAGGGAAGTTTACTGAGGTAAGGATCAAATTGCTGCCTATCCCTCAGTTATTGTTTTGTAATACATGTGCATGTATTGCATTAACCAAAGAAGTGACTATACTTCAAATGAAGATTAAAATTCTTATGTTAGACTGAATTTCAAAAATTTTACTTGTATTCAAATTGATGATATATCAATTGGTAATGATTGGTTTCCTTGGTTTTAAGAAACCATGATTAATAACAAACCTTTTTACATCCACAGTTTGAGAATGAAATGCTGGAAAAGCTAGACCACCTTGTGGAAGGAGGCCATGGAGATGAGCACTACCGTGAGGTCTTCCAAAACATGGTGGGTGCTCTCTGTGAAGAACATGCCACCATGAGGGACCCAGGCCTGAAGCTGGTCAAAACAGTCACTAGGCTCATGGATCGGCTGCTGCAGTACCGGACCATTATGAACACCCCAGATAATTCAGCTGAGACACGCATGAGCTGCACTGTCAATCTCTTGGTAAGGTCATCAGTCTTTTTTACTGAATTCTATGATGTAGTATTTATTCATTTGTTTATTCATCATCATCATTGTTATTATTATTTTCATTATTATTATTATTATTATTTATTATTTTATTTTTTTATTTATTTATTTTTATGAAGATTGTATCCAAGCTGATATTAATGTTTATGATTATGAAAGTTAAGAAGTTGGTATTTGTAATGATGATGATATAACAAAAAATTGGAGATGACTTATAAGAATAATTTGACTATTTCAGGACTTCTATTCTGAAATAAATCGGAAGGAGTTATACCTGCGATATGTCTACAAGTTGTCAGAGCTTCACCTTGCCTGTGATAATTACACTGAGGCTGGCTACACACTCCTTCAGCATGCCAGCTTGCTTAAGTGGACCCATGAGGATCTGCAGACTGCCCTAAGGTCACCCATTCACCACCATCTTGGGTATCATGATGACCTCAAAGAAAAACTCTATAATGAAGTTATTAGCTACTTTGACAAAGGAAAAGTAAGTCATATTTTGTAGTTTAGTTGAATTGAATCTTGTGCTAATATAATGTTTGGAACCCTTCTGCATTGTAATTTTTTCTTAAAGCTGGGACATAGAATGGATCTAGGTTTTGAGTGATAATTTTGTACATTTTGTAGGCTAGTCCTAAAAAAGTGTTAAAGATATTCATAGTACCTTAGTGTTCTCTGGCTGAAGTTATGAGATACGGCTTTATCGTATGATATGGAAAATATATTTGTGTTTGTGAAAACTTTGTTCTAATTGCTTCTGCGATGACCTTCCCCGAGATTGCATATAATAGTTACAAACTCATCATTTCAGATGTGGGAAGATGCCCTGAAACTCTGTAAGGAACTAATGCAGCAGTACGAAGAAGTTACCATAAACTACACTAAACTGTCTGAGCTCTTGACCCGAATGGCTTCATTCTACAAAAACATCATGAACCCCCAGAACCTGCGACCAGAACCAGAATATTTCAGAGTTGCTTATTATGGCAGAGGGTTCCCTGCTTTCTTGCAGAACAGGGTATGTTGTTGAGTTGTGAAGCTAGCTTATCTGCCCATTGTATGCAAGGGTAAAGTTGTTTGATCCAGATTATAAAATAAAAAAAGAATATTTGATGTTCTGATCAATGCTTATATGTTTTCAGGTGTTTGTGTACCGTGGAAATGGTTATGAAAGACTTGGGGATTTTACATCTAGAATTTTGGATCAATTTCCAAATGCAGAAAAAACTAACACCACCCAGTGATGAGGTTAAAGAATCTCCACAACAGTGTAAGTTATTTATATGTGCAGTACATAAATAAAGTAAGAACCTGCCTCATGTCTGTTACACTTTTATTGTTCTGAACGCTAACTGGTAAGATTAACGAAATTTTATGGCAGTAACCTTGGGATATGATTATTATTAATGTTTCTTTTCCTTAGTCA